ATGGGGTGTTCTCCTTACTGGATACAGTGGCCATTATAAATTTGGAAAAAGTATCAATGCAGACATGGATAGTGACACGGCCAAGATGAGTGACATCCATTTGCCACAAGTCATTGGGAAAAAGACCTCGTGGGTTAATCCCCTTACTGGATGGAGGGGGGAGAAAAGGAACACAGCGCACACATCGCCTCACAATTTGTCGAGCCTGTTCACGAATTAAACCATACAGGCATCTCAGGGAGCTCGCTGGTAGGTGCAAAAATTCATGGGCTTGTTCAGGAGGGGTGAGGACTGGCAGTAGGGAGCACTGTAAAGCACGATCTGCTACATCATTACCCTCAAAAATGCCTCCTGAGGTGGACTGATGAGAATAAACATGGAGAACGTAGAGGGGGTTGTTTCACTGCAACAAAATTTGCTGTAATTCCCTCAGGAGAGAGGATATGGTGGAATTATGAGGTTGGAGGATGGCGTCCTCTATGCATCTAAGAACCTTTACTGCATATAGACTATCAGAGATTATGTTTATAGGCTCAGGATATTTACGGCATGCATGGAGGATGGCAAAGAGCTCATTTCTCTGGGTAGAGTCATAGGGGGTTTCTAATACTGTTATTTCCTTGGAGGCCTCATGATAAATAGAGGCCTTTTTGTTTTTTGTAGCATCAGTGAAAACATTTGGGCCTTGAACAGGTTCTCCCATAACCTTTCGTTGGGGTGGTACTAAGGTTATTTGCTCTAGCATGGGGAGAAGCAGGCAGGAGGAATGGGGACTTATCTCGGCCCATTGGGAGCAATGTGCCCAAGACCAATAGGTTTGCATAATGGCTTCTCACTGACCAGGTTCAAAAATCGAGTAAAGTAAAGGTCGCTGCCCAGACAAGTGGACAGCCCTTTGTACTGCAGCTAAGGCTAGTTCCCCTAACATCTCATAATAATTTGGCAGTACCTTGTGAGCCTTCTTTGCATATACAAATTCTAATAATTTGGGACCTTGGTGTATAACACAAAAAGGGCTCTGTTGATTGACCAAGGAGACCTCTATTCTACCTTTGGGGTCCCATCTGGTGGTCTGGGCCTGGGCAGCAAGTGAGAAAATTTGGGACACTGCTGCCTTAGCAGCAGGAGTCCATGCCCGAGGGGAGTTCAAATCTGAATTTCCTTTTAATATATCATATAAAGGCTGCATTACAGCAGGAGAAATGGGTGTGCGGGCCCTGAGCCATTGGATCTGTCCCACTAACTTTTGGAAGTGATTCAAGGTGGTTATCTTATCAAGCCCTAGTTCAGGAATATGGTTGCTAATAGAAACAGCCTCCATACGAAGGCCTAGGTATGTGAGTGGGTAATTTTGTTGGACTTTGTCAGAGGCTACCACCAAACCATAATGAGCAAGAGCAGAGACTATTTCTTTTATCAATCTTGCTAGTGTCTCATCAGTGCTAGTGGCTAATAAAATATCATCCATATAATGAAGTATTGTGGCTTTAAGCCATTTGTCCCTGATAGGGTCCAGCACTCTCCCCACATAAGCCTGACATAAGGTGGGACTGCAGCACATTCCTTGGGGCAGGACCTTCCACTGATATCTTAAATCTGGTCCTGCATTATTGGTAGTGGGTATGGTAAAGGCAAATCTCTTTCTATATTCTGGGGATAATGGGATAGAGAAAAAACAATCTTGGATGTCTATGACTGTCACAGGCCATCCAGAAGGCACTAAATTAGGGGAGGGGAGGCCAGGCTGTAGGGTTCCCATGGGCTCTAGGGTGGTGTTAACCGCCCTGAGATCTATTAACATTTGAAATTTCCCTGATTTCTTTTTTATTACAAACACTGGGCTGTTCCAGGGGCTGGATGTGGGCTCAATGTGCCCCACCTGTAACTGGTGCTGCACTATATCACGTAAAGCCTGGGCTTTCTCTGCAGGGAGGGGCCATTGGGGTACCCAGACTGGGTTATTAGATCTCCATGTTAGAGGAGTGGGTCTGATACAAGAAAATTTTACTCATTGTCCAATGGCCCCAATTAAAAATCCTGCAGGGGTGGTATGTAAACAGATGCCCCACAAGCCTTCAAAATATCCCTTCCCCATAAATTGTATCTCAAACCAGCAACCACCGGGGTCAATTTGGAAATTTCCTTTGCTGTAAAGGGGAAGTCCCAACCACAGGGTAGAAGTCAGAGATATTCCTGATGCAGCCCCGACGGCGCATTCTGAGGGGGTGGAGCTTCCATCTGGTAAGCTTGTTGAGGGGCCCCTTGCCCCGTTTCCCCACTTGGACTTGTGGCATTCCTTAGCATAATGGCCGGATTTGTTACAATTGTAACAAATTACCTTGGGGCGGGCTCCACCAGGTTTCTGGCAGCATTGCGCCTTGAAATGACCGGCTTTGCCACATAGATAACACAATTTAGTCTCTTTTGTTTTCAGCACTTCTGATAGCCCTTTCCAAATGGCCCGCCTGTAGGCAGGCCACAAAATCCGGGAAGGGTTTATCAGGACCTTTTTTAATCTTGGTCATGGAGGGCCTTTGTTTCCCCAAAGCCTGAATCCTACTAAAAGCCTGTAGGGCACATTGGGAGACAGCTGCAAACACTGTATTTAGTGTCTCTTTTAACTCCTTAAATTTCTTCCATTCTAAAGGGGCCCAGGTCCTCCCTCCATCGGATAAGTGTGGGGGAGGGGGCCGCCCCTCCACATGGCTTTCCTTGCTACGGCCTCCTGCTCTCTTGCTCCTACTCTCCTGCTCCTGCCCTCCTGCCCAGCCTTGCTTTCTTTTCCCTTGCTTATTCTCCCATTCCCTGTTTCCAGTGTCCTCTGCCTCACTCCCTGATTCTTCCTCACTACTGATTTCCGCTTCTTTCACTCTTTTATATACTTCTTTCCCTAGCACCTCCCGATCCGGGACCTTAACAAACATCTGTCCCATCTTCCTTCCTTCACCCTATTGGCTACTGGTCTCGTCTCTCTTCCTGCGACCAGACCAGCTGATCCACGGGGCCTCTGGCCTATTTCCTCCGCCCCACGTTGGGCGCCACTTGTGCCGGCCGCACCATGCACTCTCCTCCTATAAGGAGCAGGCTGCCAGAGTCATACTTACCAGTCTTCGGTCCTCAACCGGATAAACACAGAGATGAGCCTACCAGGAGGTGCCAACACCAGAGCTTTATTCAGAGGCCATCACAGCAAGGCCAAGCAGGAAGGCCAGAGCAACAGAGCAGGAGCAAACAGAGCGCGTGATCCCACCACGATCGTTCCTTACGTACCTACTTAGTCCCTCCTCCTCAGTCCGCCTACTAGTCAATGATTGTAGGGTCAGATACCGGAAGGGGATGTCTGAGTTTAGCGCACCAAGGGAGAGGAAGTGACGCAGGAGGCTAGGACCGGATACGGGAAGGAGACGTCTGGGATTAGTGCATAGACAAAGAGTACGTGACCTAGGAAGTCAGGCCCAGATACCGGGAGGAGGCGTCTGGGGTCAGTGCTACACAAAGGGAAGGTACGTGACCCAGGAAGTCAGGAAGGACACAGGAAGGAGGCGTCTGCGGTTGACGTTGCACTTAGGGAGGGGACTAAGCAAAGGGAACTCGTCCTCTGCCATCCCACTCCCACGTGGCACAGCCCCCTACCTCAGGAGCACGTGCTCCAGCTACTTCCTCGTATTCTGTACCTTCCCCAGCTTATCTCACATAGCACTGCCCACTGCCTCAGGACTACTCTGTATCCAGCCCATCCCAGTTCACCACAACTCCGCCCACCACAGCCCCTGCGTCAGGAGCGTGAGCTCCGGTTACTTCCAAATACCCAGATCCTACCCCAATCTTGCCACAACCCGCACTTGGCAGTAGGCAACATCAGACAGTCCCTCACACTACCTCACAATATTATTGTGAGAATCAGATGAGATCATATTTGCACTCTGCAAATCTTAAAGCATTATATAAATGTTTGTTATTATTAAATCATAAATTTTTAAAAAAGACTACATAATTTATCATTTTTGTTGATCAGTTGTTTCAGTTGTGTCCAATTCTTCATGACCCCATTTGGGGTTTTCTTGGCAGAGGTACTGTAGGGGTTTGCCATTTCCTTTTCTAGTTCATTTTATAGATGAGAAAAACAAGGCAAACAGGGTAAACTGACTTGCCCAGGTCACACAGCTAGTAAGTGTATGGGGTCAGATTTGAACTCAGGAAGATAGAGTCTTCCTGATTTCAGGTCCAGTGCTCTATCCATTGTGCCACCTAGCTGGCCTACATTTTATCATACTTTTACCCTAAAGCTACTTGCCACTTGCAATGAATGATTTCACCCATGATATAGGTAAATCCACCCAATCAGGAACATTACAGCAAAGTTCAAATTTATTTATAACATCATTAATCCCTCCCATATATCTAACCGAAGCCTCTTCTGTCCCCATCCTCATCAGAAATAGAGAATAGCACAGTGTAATTTACATAGAAGGCCTAGCACATAGGTTCCCAAAGTGGGAGATACCACCCCTAGGGTGCGCTGGAATGATCCAAGGGAGCAGTAGCAGCCTCAGGTGCAACTGGGGGACATTGAGTAAAAATAAGGGGGTGGTGGAAGCATAAGGAAAAAAGAGAAGATAAGAAAAATTTGAAAACCATTCTTACATGTTCCATCTGTTGTTTATCTAAGTTAAAGTCACAGTGATTACATTATTTTCCAAATAAACATACAAAATGCAAGTTATAACCCACCAGTGGTCAAGTCCACTAACAGGTCTTAATAAGCAAGTGTTGGCATGCAAGTTTGTCACAAATTGTCAGGAAGTCTAGCATGCATCAGCAAGAATATGTGTGTGCAATGACTTGTTTATGGTTACATGATGCAATATTACATCGTCAAAATTTCAATGCAGAGGAAAAAAAACCACGGATTTACAATAAATTATTAAATTTAAGATGTCATTTTTAAAAATATATTTTTTTGAAATGATGCAAATTTTTTTAAAATGTCATAGGGTTAAAGAAAGTAGATTTCCAGGGGGGTGCTGAGTAATTTTTTTTTTAAAAGGGGGCGGTATGCCAAATAAGTCTGGGAACCTCTGGCCTCTAGCGTATACCTTGGCTCATCACAGGTGATTAATAAGTGCCTATCGGTGATTAATAAATGCATATTGAATACTGAATGCAAATTGAACACGTATACACTCTTTTCCACATGAGGTCCTCAAACGTTGGACAAGCTCCCTGTAGTAAGCAATCAAGGTATTGGGGGCAGAGAGAAATATGCCTTGGATTGGAAAAGAGGAAGGCTGGGTTCTATTCCTGGCTCTGCTAACTACTGGCCTTGAGGGAGCCCCATACCATTTGTGGTCCCCATTTTCATCCTCTGTAAAATGCGGAGCTGGCAGGGGCGGCCTGAATGCAAAAGGGCAAATCCGGGCTTCACCTGAGGAAAATCTTTCTAATCATTAGAATGATAGCAAAGTGGAACAGGCTCCCTCAAGAGACAGGGGGGGCTTCCCATTACTTGAGACCTTCAAGCAAAAGCTGGATGAGCACCTGTCGGGTATATTATAAAGGGGATTCTTGTTCGGGAATGGGTGGGACCGGGTGGCTTCTGAGGCCCTTTCCAACGTGGAGATTCTGTGATCGTGCACAAGTCTTGATCTCTCAGGGGCTTTCCGCTCTAAAGCCTGCGGTCCTACGGAGTTCTGACGGAGGGCACACATGCTCCCTGCAAGTGGCGTTAAGTGTTGCCAGATTCATAAGCCATGTGACCTCGAGCACACACAGAGACGCACCTGAAAAGGGGATCTCGAGTTTATTCTCTGGAGTTCAAAGGTAGAGACCAACATGATAATCTTTCACTGATGTCCTCCTCTTTTCTGCTCTATGGTTGCCTTTTCTAATCACTCTGACCAAACTGTTGAAAGCAGAGCTTTAGTGTATCCAGAGGGATGTGCCTGGTAACTCTGGCATCTTCATTTCATCTGTTTATGAACTCAGGGCCTCAATAGTTAAATTGTTTGCAATCCACCCTGTGGGGTATGTGGCTTAATTAACTGACATCTACTTGACTAAAGTCCTTTGAAATTCTTTGCCTGCAAAGACCTGTAAAACATGTCCATTCAGCAACACAGCAGGTGTGTCCTACCTGATGGTCATGACATTCAACAAGGCGAGAGTAGTGGGAAGGGATGAGGAGCAGGGGGAAGTCTACCTCTGGACTGGCAGGCACTCTCCCACCTGTCTGATGCTGTCAGATGCAGCCACAGGAACAAAACCCTCCAAGTCAAGGGTGGCCTCCAGGAGTTCACTGTCACCTTCAGAAGAACAGACTTCAGTCAGGGAAGGGAGGCCATCAGTGGCCAGGCTGCGTTGTAAACCAGGCAGATACTGGCTTCTCCAGGACTGATGGTGCACATGCACCAGACTAAAAACATCACGCAGATGTGGGCTAACTGCAGAGGAATGAAGCCAGTCTGATTTGGTGAAAAGTCTGAATTGGGGGATGTATTGTTTAGAGACTCAACCAGTCCTAGAAGCCCGTGTTCATCACAATGAGCCGCTCTAAATTTAGGGCTTTTAGATTTGGAAAGCACTTTAGGTCCATTATCTCATTTGAGCTTTGTAATGACCTTTGAGATAGGTAGAGCGGGAATTATTATCCCCATTTTGCCATCAGGGGAACTGAGGCTCTGAGAATTGGGTGATTTCCTCGAGTTACACATCTCATATCAGAGATGGGATTTGAGCTAAGGCTCTTCTGATCCTGTGTAGCACTACACCATGTTCCTTTTAAAAATATTGGAAATTACTACTTGTAGACAGCTATAGGAACATACTTAGGTAAAATGTTTTCAGTGCCTTATCCATTCTTTGATACTGTAACAAATCTGTAGTTTCCTTAAGATAGGCACTCCCTCTTACCATGAAAGTTACAACCTATCCTTGCCTTCTCATTCTGGATGACTATTGCTTATTTCTTCCCATAAATCCTCTGCGGAAGGGCCATGCAATATATAATTCTTACAGCAGCATGTCTACTCATTGGTCACTAGACAAACAACTCACATTTAGAATACTGAGTAAAGTTAATGTTTATAGGCAATCTATAAACTATGTGATGTTCAGCATCCTCTGTCTCTTTGCTACCATCACTGAAACAGAACATACAAGACTGAGGACCATTTCACTTGATTTCTTGATTTCATGCATTGCCATGATCAAAGAATTCATTACTAAGTGTCTAGCCTGCTAGCCCTGAGCCTCTCTATACATAGCTGGGCTAGCCCTCAGAAAGCAGAGACAGTCTATTGCTGGGACCATACCCAAGCATGGTAGAACCTGTCAGAATTTGTGTTCTGGTGGCATAGCCAATGAGAACCTAGAGTCATCTATCTCCACATCATACTGAGGTAATAGGTTAGGACTTGTTGGAGACTCCAACACTTTAAAATATCAGAGAACTGTAATTGGTACATTTCACTAAAGAGTTACTCTAGTGCCTCATGGCATGGTAAGTTACAAGTTCTAGGATAAAGAGTTTTCACTTAACTGGAATAGGAAGTTTGGAAGGTTTTAAATTGAAAGTCTTTAGGGCCATAGGTGTTTATTTGGTTTTAAACAATAATTAAATATTTCAAGTAACATGACCTCCTATTTCATACTTCTTAATAAATTTATATTCTATAACTTTGTCTTAGCAACCAATCAATTAATAAGCATTTATTAAGCATCTACTATGTGCCATGCACTATGCTAGGTGCACATGTCCTCAACAAGGTGCTTATCAAGTCTAGGTGGGTAAGACAACATGTACACATATAGATATATACTATATATGTATGTATACATATATATGTGAAATAATAAGATTGATTCTGTCTTTTTAAAAATCAATCCTACTTACAGTAAATTGATTTCGCAATGTAACTGCGTAAGTCGTGATTTTTTTTGTCTCTGAACTTAATTCAGAAATTTAGTTGGCTTATAACAAGTTAAGTTTAGAAATCATCACTGTACTGTTCTTGGATCAAGTAAATCTGTTTCCCTTGAAGGAAGCAGGTGGACACCAGGGAGTCTGGTCTAGTATCTTTACACCACCAAGCTGCCCTTCAAGGATGTCTAGTTTGTTATCCAAAGAAGTCTGGTTTGCTATCTCTGTCCTTGCAGATGCAGTTAGACTTGAACTTGAACATGTCTTAGTCACAGGAGGGAAGCAGGGGGGTTTTGCTAGCTCTCATTCCTAATGTCCATCCAATCATATTTTCTTCCATCTATGATGCCAGCCTTCCTATTTCCTGTATTACCCAAAAGTATAAAGAAGCTGCCCCCCTCATTCAGGGTCTTAGCTTTGCTAAGGAAGCTGAGATCCTATATATTGGTCAATTCCGGCTTTACTAATAAATCGATCACACTCGGAACTTTGTGCTTCAGTCTACCTTAATTTTAACTGTAACACACACATAACATACACACACACACACACATATACATACCTATTTACACATATACATAGATAAAGTGATTTTGAGAGAAAAGCATAAACAGCTGAAGGCATCAGAAAAGCTGCATAAAGAAAGTAGGGTTTGAGCTGTGCCTTGAAGGAAAGCAAAGTTTCTTAGAGACTGAGATAAGAAGGAAGTGCAATCCAAGCTAGAGGGACAGCCAGTAAATCAATGGAGTGGAGGGCATGGGGAACAGCATGAAGGGATTAATATGCAACAAGGATGTAAAGGTAAGTTGAGTCCAGGTTGTGAAGAACATAACATTTCAAAGCGCAGGATTAGAATTTCATCCTGGAGTTTCTTAAGTAGGGGAATGCAATGGTCAGAATTATGATTTAGGAATCGATATGGAGGCTGTGTGGAGAATGGATTGGAGAGAAGTGTGGCTCCTAACCCACTCATCTTATGCAAGAGGCTTTCCTGACTCTAACAAGACAGTCCCCTGTCTGATTCAGAGGCCATCTATAGATTCAGTCTGACTGATCTCTATTTTACTCCAGGTCATGTGAACCCCAAGAATTCTTTCCCTTACCTGAATTCAAACCCTAATCCTTTCAAGGAAGGTCAGCATCTGAAATGGTGTTACCACCTCCTCTTTTTCAGTGACTACAAAAAATAATAATTTTGGTTCCCAGGACAACAGCACTCCCAGAATAAACAGCTAAGGAGCACAAAAGCACCCTCAAATCAACTTTGAAAATCATCATTTAACCTCTGTGAATTTCAGTTTCCTCATGTGTAAAATGAGGAAATTGAACTAGATAACTATTAATGTCCTTCCAGCTCTAAATCTACTATGTGAAAATAATGCTACAAGTAATTAATACAAAGTCATGTGAGTGGGAGAGAGAATTAGTTACTACAGTTAACCATACTACCTTCTAATTTTTGATGCCTTAGGGCAAATACCTTAGTTATGGCACTGGTGATCATTGCTATTAAGACTGCACTAAAGAGACCAGAACTTCCCTAACCCTCTGTCACCCAGAAGCATTGCTTCCAAGTAATTTCTTTGCTGAGATAATACCCTCCTCTATCTACTTTCTCTTTAAATTATGCTTCCCACAAGTATCATTTGTCATTGGACTTCCTTGTATGATTCAGACACTGTCATTCTAACATCTGATTCATACACACACACACACACAACACACACACGAGTTTCTTACAGAGATTTGGCCATATAATCATTCAACACTCAGTTCTTAATAATGTATGATCCCATGGTTCTCGGATGGGTTTGTTTGGTTTTTTGGGGGAAGGGTGTGCCTACAGATAATGAGCAAAGGCCTAGTTTGATAAGCTGTGTTTAATTCAATTAGCTTTTCCCCCTACCTTGTGTTAGAATCCCTTCCTTTTCTCCCACATCTCAGAATCCTACTCTGGTGGAACTTTTTTTTTTTTTTTTTTTTTTTAGGCAGTTGGGGTTAAGTGACTTGCTCAGGGTCACACAGCTAGTGTCAAGCATTTGGTCTGAAGCTGGATTTGAACTCAGGTCCTCCTGACTTCAGGGCCAGTGCTCTATCTGCTGCACCACCTAGCTGCCCCTGAACTTTGACAATTAATAACAAATACTCTTACCCATATTGAAGCCCAAATGGATCAATAATAACTCTCAGCAGCTGCATTGGGGATCATTTATTACCTCTGTCTCCCCAGTTACCACTTGGTTTCTGTTTGATGAAAACGAGCTGATTGGTACCTCCAAATATTATCCCAAATCATAGGACATTCATCCTTGAGCAAGCCACAATCTCCTATATAATCATCATTTACTTAATCCCCAGTAATCTCTTTGTTGTTTAGGCCTTTCACTTAACCCTGCTTCATTTTGATCACATCCACTTAACCCAGAGCAAGTATCATTTCATCAACCTGGTCTTAGGACGCTCATCTGTCCAGGCTAAATGCAAACTTCTATTTCACAGTCTTCGCTCTCTCAAACTCCTGATCACAGGACCTTTCACCCTCTTTAGCTGGGCCAGGTTACCCTCCTGCACTTCTCTGGCTTTAACAACTTGGCCGAGACACACAAAGTTGTTGCTGTTGTTCAGCCATGTCCAACTCTTGTGACCCCATTAGGGATTTTCTTGGCAAAGATACTAGAATGGTTTGCCATTTTCTTCTCCATCTCATTTTACAGATGAGGAACTAAGGCAAACAGGGTTAAGTGACCTGCCCAGGGACACAGCTGGTAAGTTTCTGAGGCCAGATTTGAACTCAGGAAGACTCATCTTCCTGACTCCAGGCCCAACACCCTATCCACACTGCACCACCTAACTGCCCATGCC